TGACCTATCCACTCATCGTTAATCTCTTGAGGATAATACTTCTCGAGGTTAGTTATTCAGCGGACTGCCCAGTTTGTCCTTCACACTTGATCACTTCACTGACTTTTACTATATTAAATGGGCTAAAAACATTATTTTTCCCGTCACATACCAAGGCCAGTTGAGGGAACCCATTGGTCTCATTTATTCGTCCGGGTTTCTCTCAAAACCAACAGGTACTAATTCAACTAGATGCCTTTATTCGAAACCACCATCACGGTTGCTGTCTAGAACCAAATAAAAGATAAATATTAGAACTACTTTTAAGTAATTTGATGAATCTCATCGGTGGTGTTGACTTTTCTATCAACGAATCTAATTGAAGATCATAAATTGAATCTGAGACCGCGCGATAACTAAATAATGGACAATGTTAGAATATTTACAATTGAATTATGAATCCAAGATTATTTTGAAGATCCGCGAGAAGTTCCACATCGTAGTAGGTTTGAAAATGCGTGCTGCTTTTCTGTCGGAAAGCTGAAGCTCCCGACCACTCCGTATGTAGTACGTTTCCCTATCGCGAGCTGCGGTCACACTGGCTTAGTCCTTTGAACGAATCGAACAAAGGTAAACAAACTGATTTCACAGAAGTGCCTTTTCTGACAAATCGCGCTGATGGTCTGTAGATCAAACCAAAAGAGTAAATGGTTCTGGATTAAGCAGCTATTCGAATTAAACAGATCTACCCAATGAAAAGGGCTAGCAGAAAATGGGTCGATTACGAACAGGTTGATGAGACAAACGACCAGTGGCATGGACTTCAATATTTACTTAGAATTCGCTTTGTATTGTTGTCATTATAGATATATTTTCTTTAATAATTACATTTGCGTGATGAAAAGCAAACGAAACCCTATGTTCACTAGGACATACTGTTCAGTCATGGAAACTGTCAACCTAAGTCCCGCGACTTAGAGTAGCGAACCACATACTGCTGCTCCAGCTTGGGTGTGGTACGTCCTAGTTAACCAATCTTCTTTTTCTTATGTTACGATTACCCTTGTTCAAATGGACATTCAAATTTGAGGGATCAAGCAAAGTGACAGAGATTAAAAAGTGGAAAGTTAAAGCGCTCATCAGTAACCATGGTGATTCTTGTGTTGGATCTTGAAAAGTTGGATGTGAACATGCTGTCCGGTAATGGTGGTTCTGATATTTGATGTATCAAGCTGCAAGAAGCATCAATAGAGTTGTAGTATGAAACCCGGCATGCAATTTATTGGACAATGGTGGAACAGCGAAAATGGAGGTTTGGTTTCAGAATACCACGTACACAGTTTTGCTCCTAGCATTCGGTTAGAAAACACTGGATGTCTGCTACACTGAATCAAATAAAAGGACAAATAAAAGCATTTTCGATCAATATTACTCTCACATATTTGAAGTGTGCAGCTAATGCCCGCCAATCGCTTTAGGTCACCTTATGTATGTTTTCACCAAACAGTCTTACGTCTCATCAGATGTGAAGGTCGATTGTGGTAGTTTCAGTTACACAAGCAGATTCAATCACAAAGTATGCTCACCCATAAATGGGAGCAAGAACTTCACCACTTTGTCGGCTTAGACCAAGCTTTGTACGATTGCCCCTTAACACCATATAGGAAAATCAGGGTGTTAGACAAACGACTTTCGTCTGCCTCTAATCCGATCAATACCAATAAGTACCTCCCGGTTATGGCTAAACACTAGAAAACAAAATCAACCTAGCCATCATGTAATCATAAATAAACATGTCTCTGAGAAGCGCGCCCATTACGAAGAGAGGAATGTTGTCGACCAGAGGATTATTATTATTATTATTATTATTTGCAACTGTTGTTTCTGTTGCTCTTCTAGCCAAAAACGGGAAGAAGAAAACGGAATGGACGAAACATCTCCTCGAGCTGTAAATGGTTCCGAAGCGGTATATTTCGAACGTGTGCACAGTGAAGTCCAAGCTAATTAAATGCGTGTGTCGGGAGGGGGGGGGACGAGGGGGACGGGTTTGATTGCAATTAATATGAGAGCCGATAACCACGATTGTACCAAGCGCTCACGCGTAAGCGGCTACGTGTCTTTGGGTTGACTAGTTTAATCATCCAATGCCGAATGCTAGTTGGCATCCATTCCGCAGGGACGCTGCCCTCTCTTCAAAAGACAAAAGAATCTGACAATCTTATTGTCCGTCCATGTTTAAGCGGAATGAAATGACTAAAAGCGTACCGGTCAAACGAAAACCACTCTTCGACTCTGTGCACTATAGTCTACGATTACCTGCCTAGTTCCAAGACCCAAATGGTGTGGAAAATAATCCTCTGTGGTGCACAAAATCCGGTATACATACGGGATTGGAACGTGCAAAAAATTGCCATGGTGCGAATTTGGTTGCACCAAGCAAAAATCATTTAGTTCTTCCACCCCTATCGATAGAAGCAACATATCGTGCGGTATCAGCAATCTATGAGCGTTGTTAACGGCAGGCACACGTCGGACAACAGCTCCCGGGGATAAATGAATACGAGAGACGGGGAGAATCAACACAATAAGTTGGATAATTAGATGAACATTGAATGGGTCGTGTGCAGTTCCGTTCAGCCTGAGCCGCCCCCTAAGAAAATCTCTATCAGACCGTGTTGGGAGCGAACCCGTCTGACCTCTTTACAATGTCCGGGTTTGGTAGACAGGCACAAACAACCTAGCGGAGACACATCAAACTAGAGTACAAATTAGGAAACGGGCACCCTTCTCAAGACTGTGCAACTGTCCGTTGATTCTACTAGCACTACTACTATTCTCAAGTGAAACTTCCGCTTCGCGTGTGAGTGTTGACGTGTCCGAAGAATTCCTTCCACAACACAAGCATATCTAAACGAACAATGAGTTGGTCTGAGTGACAGTGTTTCAAGTGAAGTTGAGGTCACGGTTTTCACTGTATGCGACAAAAGGAACCTCAATATCCACGTGGACACTTCACACTTATAAGGCTTTTGAAGTAGACTAGACACCAAATTTCGATATTTTTAGGTTGCCAAAGAGAGAGAGAGCGTGTGCATATCTACAACCCATTAGTTATGCAAGTGCTGCGCATAGCTGATCGAAACCTCCGTCAAAATGTCCCTGTACGTTCACTGCGTAAGCATCCCAGTGACAACACACTCGATCAAGCGTAAAATGACCGACATTCAAGTCTATTCGCGGGACCTGAATCGCGTTCTGCTTCGGTGCACCGTTGTTCTCAAGACGATGAGCATTACGGTCACCAGGGCACATTTACAATACGTATCACAGGAAATTATTCGCTCGACAGATTTAGAAATTCCGATCTGGTTTATCTCATCGATTTATTTGGAAGATTCAATCGCACTTATCCAAGAAACAGTTAAAAATATGGATCATTATTACTCTTTATTGAGATTCACGAATTCGTTTTCGTTTGATTTTACTTCAAATACAATCGGCTCCGGGGTAAGATGGTTGTCTGTTTATGACTAAGTGAATCGGTTTCAGCCATACATGATTGTCCTTCAACAGTCGCTACAGTAACGGATGAGTTTGCCCGGGAACTGGTAATTGGGTTAAGCAAAGTCAGTCTGCTTGGTCTGCGGGGAGAAGAGGTGATCGGAGGGGAGATTTGTAAGAACAACCGGCGTTTAGCCAATCAACACACCCACTACATAGCCCAACTCCCGCGTGGTGTGCTGAAACGCATAGGCATATTTCGAGTTTGCGTGGGTGATTCGCGTATCCATGCTGTTTGCATGCGATGCATGCCATCTTTATAGGCAACCTTCTGGATCACTGCCCCTCCTGATACACTGATATATAAATAAATAAAAAACGAGCATCTGCAATATCACTCATTAATCAGTCACCTATTGAATGAACTGACTATCACCTAACTACTGGGTGGTCTATATGGCAATTATGCTCTCGTTTCCAGTTTGCTTATATGTCTGCTGCGCGTCTCTCTCCTTGTGCGCATGGCACACTAGCGCTAAACCTGTCAATCACTAAAACCCAGAAGTTACACATACGCACATGCACACACACACACACACCATGAAAATGGCTAACAGATTAGGTCAGACAGTCGATTCTCTCTGTATACCTGTACACATTCAAACTTCGATTCGCTCTTTTTCCATCTGGCTATCAGTTTAACCAGATGGCGACCCCAACCCACCAATCCAAAATGACTCAGCTGAATGCGGCCATTCATCAGGCCAGTATAATTGATCATCAGATATGCACTTGTTTTTAGTTGACTGACAGCTCCATCTAAGCTCTCCTGCGGCGTCATGAACTCTAATGATTAGTGGGCAAATGAAATATACGGAACGCGTTCATTCTGGCATAACTGGCACCATCCAAAGCACAACCATTGAATCCTTATGGAAGGCACACGTTTATATGCATGATCTAGGAAGAAGGGAATGGAATAGTATTCGGTGGCTGAACTCAACTGAACACTATTCCTTTATCTACTCTCCCGTTTTCCTGTCTCTACCTCCCTCTGGTTTGTGCTGAGGAATTTTCATATGCTCCTGCACAATCAATTCTGCACACTTATCAGTTCTTCTTCAGCGGTCAACAAAATCCTAATACACTTGGAAGGTTAAAATTTCCAGACAAAAGCTCCGCTTGTGAATACGGTACAACCTCACTCCAGCAGTCTGCACTACCCAAGATGATTATCACTTGACGGCGTCTTGCAGTGCGGAGGCCTCGTTCGACTTACATCCGAACATGACGCTTAGGGCAAACTAAGCGGTACACAGATTTGTTCAATTGATCTGCAACAGGCAGTGGATGAAGGGCAAAGGAAGAGTGTGCCTAAGCCGGGGAGGGGAGAGAGAACACAGTTGGTGCTAATGGCACGTGTCGGAATGTGTCGATCACGCGGCAAGCACAACGGGGGCCCGGTCTAGCTACCTGATGTGTGGCAGTTGTTAACGCACCACAGGAGGTAATTTGTCACTTCGTCCTCACCATCGGTCGCGGTCATTTGCCCGGTCAGTTCGAAATCGTGCAGCTGAACATGGGGTTGGGTCGGGTCGGACGGCATGCATGATGTGTTCCAATTATTCCACGAGCAAAGGTTTCTACCCATACAAAGTAATGCTCTTTTCAAGCGCACTTCCGTCCAGATATGTTCCTCTCGTGATTTGTTTCCAAGTGTTTAAAACCACATGCACTGGACAATCCGAATGCCAACTACACTGTTTATTTTTCGAAATTGAATTCATCTCATCAATCGGCTTGGATGAAAAGTTGCATTCTCAAACGCGCGTGTGTGTGCGCGCCATAAGACTTCAATTTATGCACCTACAACAAAGTACACACTGATGGTGCTCTAATGGACTCTGAGTGTGTACATTATCTGTAGATTGGTCCTCGGGTTGACAAATCTTTAACTGATGAACCATAATTAGTGTGAGCACATACATGCAGACAGACAGACAGACAGAGTGAACGAACGCGGGCAGTCTAAGTGAGAAATGGATCGTTCAGTCGTGTGCGTGTGCGTGTGTTTGTGCACAGAAAGTTGAGCAAACAGACAAACTGGCAAATAAATAATAAATCCATTAGTAAAAGGTGTCGACTATTGATACAGAGCAAAGCATCTCAACTGGGGCTGTATACAACAATTCTTATGAAGCACGGTTTACCGAATATGGGACTACCTTTCACATCATGGCAACTGATTGTTTATTGACAAAGCAAATTCATGATGGATTTGATTCGCATAAAATTGATCTCGTTATGTGAGCAAACAGAAACCTCCTAACTGCTTCGCTTGATATATATATATATATATATATATA